ACAAACACACTTCTTGTTAATTGGACCAATGGTAGCACAACCTATAATTACAAGTGACGGCCTTAAGGCTTGACTTTTTTAAAATAGACCTTTGGCTTTGTTAGCACTAAAATATATATATCTATTTATTGTATTATTTTATGTTATTTAAATCTCTTTGGGCTGTTAATAATTGATGTTGCAGGTAAATGAGCCTAAAAAGATTAATATGGCCTAAGAAGGTAAAAATAGAAAGAGAAGTGAATGGCATGAATTCTAACATATTTTATTCTATTTTTACTTTCAGCTCAAAGAATTACAGCAGCCACATGGATCAAATATTTTGGAAGAGGGAACAATTCAGAACCATTGGATGAAAAAGAAGATAGATGGCTATTAGCTTTTAGAATCTTTTAGTTTTTAGTTAATTTGTGTGGGTTGTAAAGAATAGACCAGAATAGTTTTTCAGATCGAGAGATTTTTCAATCTTCGTTAGTGTTCTTTCTTTCTTTTCTTTGACTTTAAGTATTGAGAGATATTGTATAAAAGGTTTTCTTCTAACCCGAAAAGGAGCCCATGGCACGAAACTATCAAGTACTCAACCTGCTTTTAGTCAAATACCTGACTAGCCTGAGTCCAATCCAGTATACCATTGTCAAATGGGGCAGAGGGAACCCATGATGGAAAATCATCACTAGAGGCTAAACTAGACCAATTAACCACATCAAGTGAGTCTCACATCATATTTTAACCAAAAATTTTAAGACAATAAGTTCATAAATATTTCCTCTTATATAACTTTTATTTAGCTCGTTAACAACTAATACGAAACTTCATAACACTTAAATATTTTAACACATCCCTTTGCGTTGAGCATTGTTCAACCTACTAACCATCCATTTCGGAACAGTATTTTTTGCATAAATTTTCTTTCTTTATTTTCACAATGAAAAAAGTAATGCTGTTATTTCACCCAATAAAAATATATAAATCGTTGCATCTGCTTTGTATTTGTTAATGAATATTGGAGTACGGAAACTTGTAATGTGAATATAAGGAATGGCTTGATTATCCAAAACAAGTATATATATATAGAGGTAGGATTCTTTGACACTAGTGTTAAATTTCAAATTTGATACCTCATCTGATAGCCGTTAGATAAAAAAAGATCAATGGTGTCACATGTTTGCAAATCAGAGTCGTTGATCTTTTTTGATCTAACGGCTATCAGATGAGGTGTCAATTTGAAATTTGACACTGGTGTTAAAGGATCCTACTTCACATATATATATATATATAATGAATGACTTGATTTGAAAGTTTTGGATCGATTAATTGATACACCCTTTGGTGGAAAGAAATACTTTGCAAGCATGTGACACCATTGATCTTTTTTGATCTAACGACTCTCAAATGAGGTGTCAAACTTCAGATTTGACACCGGTATCAAAGGATCCTACCTCTCTCTCTCTCTCTCTCTCTATATATATATATATATATATATATATATATATATATATATATATATATATAATGAATGAATGACTTGATTTGAAAGTTTTGGATCGATTAATTGATACACCCCTTGGTGTGTGCATAAGAAAAAGACCCGTGCTTGAAGTATGGGCGAACTAGCTCGAGAGCTTGTTAGATTCTTATCAATAGTACATTTGTGAAAGTGGAAGTTGTATCAAGGAAATATGCTCAGCTACGCGCTATCCAATATAATAATCCAAATATAAACATATGTTAAGAACAGTTACTATTTCTGAGTGTCATGGTTCATTAACTATTTTTTAACTTCTCAGTTTTCATACGGGCTCGAGTACGGTGCTCAAGGCGAAAAGAGAAAAGGGGAGGGGAAAGGAATAAATCTTTGGTACTACTGTTTTACCTAGATTTAATGCATCTCATTAATGAGAGCATTAGACATCAGAAGAGATAGAGAAAATCTGACAGAAAAAACAGAATTTTAACTAACATGTAATAGTACCAAAGATTTATTCAGGGGAAAGGAGGAAGTGATAAGTAGGTTCGTTCATTTGGTGGCGTCAATTGATAAGCTACTTTCATGGGCTAATGTGTGAAGCTACTTTGTGCATAATAAATGACTCATAATAATTTTATCATTATTATTTCACAAAGCACACGTAATGTAGCTCCCACTAAATTTAATGTCACCCAATGCAAATGGTTTGTCGTTGCACCTTTGAATACTTTGCACTCATTACTATTATTTCTACCACTAAACAAGTGAAGTTTATCTAGAATTGTAGTTATGAATGCATTTTATTAGGGATCAATACCCTCTGGTAAGCAAACGAGAATAATTAAAGTCAAACAATCATCCCAATGCATGGCATTAGCCATTTTAATCAAAGAGTCTCCACCAACTGCATCATGCACTGGATTTGATGACCACTGATATTCTTTCCAGATTTCATTACCCATCAAAAGCTAAAACTAAAAAATACCTAGCTTTTCACCCCAAAAAAAAAAAAAAAAAACTGCAGTCTACTGCTATGACTAATGGCAACTATAACCAGCAAGACAATATGTGCCCTTTGATACTGAGAATTTCATCTACTGTTCAATTTTTTAATTTTTATTGTTAGGATGATCTGAATAAACTTTGTTCTGAAAAAAATATTATTACCTAATTTGTAATTATTTTAGGAGGAACAATTTGAACGGATAGAGAGATCAATTGTTTGAAATTCACGTCCGCACACCAACTGATCACTACCAAAAATAAGTTGGTATATATAATTTGTCATAAGAAGAATATTACTCTCATATTGTATAAGAAGAAAAAAAATATTATGACTCACAAATTAATCAAATATAGAGCTTATTTTATAATTTTTTCTCTTCTCTTTCTTTTAATTTGTGAATGCATAAGAAATTTTTTTGAACGTACACATGAGAATAATATTTTCCGTGTCATAATCCACCCATTTGATTAATCGTGACAGTCAATAAAAGACGTCAAGAAATTAAAGTTAGTACTAAAAACTGGGTATACATATGAGTACGTATGACTATTGATTTCGTAGTCAACTACTGTTCAGGCACGGAAAACATGCACATTGGCATCATGTACCATTTGTTGGCTAAATGCGTGATGACCAATAATTACTAATTTAAAATCCCTTTTTTCTTTCTAGTTTATGGGTCGTGGCTCCTTATTACGAGTTTCGATCGATGGCCAAGTTGGCAGTAGAAAATGAATAGCAACAGAGTATCCATGATGATATTTGGTTTTGTGTCTCAATCAATAATCCTGTCAATTATAACAATAATAACAAGATTAAGAAATGAGAACAAACAAAGTTTGCGACGGTGGAGTCTGGAATGATTACTTTCTTACTGTATTTTATTTACAATCCCGTGCCGAGCTTCATCTCCCGAAAGTATAATTGTATATGGGTCATAAGTGAACCATTTATAATAAATGGTACCGGATCAAAACCTAGGGCTAGAAGAATTATGGTTATATATTTTCATTATTTAGATAATTTACAGTTTATCTCGTTGTAATTTGACTCAAAATTACATTTTTTTTATGGTTTAAAAGTAACATTTTACTGTCCTACAATATCTTCTATTATAATGTAACCTTTCATTTTTTATTTTATTATTTTACTGGTCAAACGTCAAATAATTAAAATTTTTAATTTCTAAATATTTTAAAGAAGGTTTAATTTCACAATATATATATAGGAAAGTAAAGGACCAAAATAAGATTTAAGTTAACGCAAAGAAAAACTAAGAATGAGAAAATCGAATTTAAACGTGGCACTAATAATTTTCAACTTTGTTATTAATTATAGACAATTTTTACACAAGATGACAAAAAAAATGTAAAACGCACCTCACAAAATACTTGTTCTTTCTACTTCTTCTTCTTTTTTAATGAAAAGTAAATTTTTCAATATACAAATGTCAAACAAAATTAAAAAAAAAAATACAAGAATAACACTTGTGAATAATTACCATATGAATTAACCATCAAAATTGTGCTAGTCTTTCAAGCAATTCTGCATCGTTTAAGTTTGCATTCCCAATTAGGGAATGTGACTTTCATTGGTGCTCAAAACATTAACATTATTCAATAAGGCAAAACCAAAACTAGATAAGCTAGTTATGTTTTTTCAAGTAGTGTTGAACACTAAACCATACACATATTTTACATAAAAAAACGTATATTTTTAAAATTACTATTGGCCCATTCTTATTTCTTCAAATATCTCATATCTCTTAGTTACCACCATTAGTGTTAAGGATTAAGAGAGAAGGGGAGAAACTAATTGTAATAATTGAAGAATGTGAGTTACATGAATAATTGACAATTTGCAAATAAAATTTACTAAAATAAATCTCTGAAACTATCTTTAACCAAGAGTTGTACAAAAATCTTATTTTTTCCTCATATTTTTAAACTTAAAGTTAAAACCAATCGCTTTAATGATCAATTTCATCAAAGTAAAACTATCTTTGACCATGAGTTATATGGCTAATGATCATTTTTTTTTCCCTCGTCAATATAATACTTAAGATCATTCGCTTTAATGATCAATTTCATTCAAAGGAGGGCGCCTGCAGACACTGCAAAATGAACCATATGGAGAAAAGAGCATGATTAATGTTAAGTACAAAATATTACACAATAAAACAATCTGTCACCCAAATTTTAAAAAACCCTGTTAAGGCCTTTTTTTTTTTTGTGTGCAGAGCCCAAAATCAAGCTCTATAAGCTCTCTTTGATGGATGGAAGTTCATGGAACTGGCCGGCATCATAGCCTCCAATCCTCCATGGAGGTTTCAGAAACTCCGCCCTTGCAAATGGGCCCTTTCTGTACACCATCGATTTTAACCACAATGCAATTTTTTTTAAATATATTTTCATGAGTAATCGTTTGAAAATTGAAAGAATCTAATAAACAACCAAACAATTGTGCATGAGGTTCGATTCCTGATCGTGTATATAAAAAAGATTTTATTGAAAGAAATTTACTCACTTAATATGATCTCCTGCCTCGAAAGAATTAATCTTCAGCTATCGGCTGGAGAATGCATTGGGAAACCAAAAAAAAAAAATCCATCATCTTTCAACTTTCAACTTTTTTAAGTGGTACAACACGACACGAGATTGGCTGAGGAAGCCCCTTGTTTTCCCAACTTATGCGCTGATATGTGATTTAAATTCACCACTAAATGGTTGCCTTAGCCCCGGGTGTCTTCTGCCAAGAAGAGTTGTGGCCGAATATACTTATTAAGAAAAATAGACAAATACTCATTAATAAATAGGAAAAAAATGCGCAGCCAAACTGTGGAGTAAAGCTAGGTAACTTGTTAGTATTTCCTTCTCCATGAAGTCCATTTGAGTTTAAGCTGGTACCACAAAGGTGGTAATCCCAGAACCCCTCGTGTTAGCCTTGGATCAAACACGTCAAATTGGACCCTACTTAGGGAATCCAAGAGAACCTGAGCAGGCACTGCAGGAAGGAGCACTGGAAGAGCCTCAGCAGGCACACTTTCAGCTAACTTCCGAGCCTTCTGTAAGTGCGCATTGGCTACCGATGCCATTTCATAAACTGCATCACAAAGGCCCTCGCGAGAATCCAACCATCTCTCTTCTCCGTCTCCTTGCTTAACTAATAGCCCATGCTTGGATGCTATTGCAGTTGGTATGTAAGAAAAATGACTATTGCGACCAGCATGATAGGGCAAGGATTTAAGGAGCAAAAGAATACCACTGGCCTTGCCAATATGTGAGGCTGCATGGTCAGCTGCAGTAGACATAATACCACCAGCTTGAAGTGTCAAGTACAGCATAGTTGATACAGTGTCCTCCGCATATTTCTCTAACTCCCCAATAGTTTCTGGGATGTCAGTGACCTCTCTTCTTGCATCATTGATCCGAGCTTCAACAGATCGTTTCAACCATGTCTTACTAATTTTTTTCTCAGCTATCACAGATGACAGGGCCTGTGCTGTTGGGTGTTCAATCAATTTATTGGCAAATATTTTGTCTATGGCTTCCTGCCACCATACAAGGCGCATAAGTCCAATCCTGGGGTCTGAAGCAACATCCATAGCTCTAGCGGTTTCAACATTCAAGGCACGGAGTACAAATGCAGCCTTCCGCATAGATGGAGGCAGTTCAAGAAGGCAAAGATAGTGATGATAATCATAACTTCTCACTTGCTGTACGCAATAAGAGAGAGCTGCCCTTAAGTTACTAGATGCAGAACCACCATTCATTAAACCTTACCTGGGTGCCTACAGATGAAAGTTACATCAATCACAATACTACCATACAAGCTAAAATAAAAAGTTGCAAAATGGAAATCACTATGTATACATCAACAAATATTGTGTAAACACACATGCATAACATCATATATCTTAGAAGTTACTTGAGGACTGATTTTTGTCCATTTAAAATTGTAAGCTATGATCTAATTCCGCAGATGGGTTGAGAATGCATAGCATACTCTGAAATTAATTTGCAAAATAATTCTTCAATGATCATATGTAAAGTTAACAGCTTCATGAAAAGTCTAATCATAACTCATATCTTTTCATTTTCTTTATCATTATGTCAGACTCGCCTTTGTTCTGTGCTATTTTCAAATTTAATATACATGGATAAGGCATTGGGCAAACTGTATGGGCACAACAACCCTTGAAGAAAAGATTTTCTTCCACAACAACCAAACCTTATTCCACTAATTGGGGGTTGAGCTCTATAATATGCTAAAGGAAAACAAAATAATCAGCAATACACTGATGTCTATCGTTAATTATCATCCAGGTAAGAATATGCATATACAAATACCCGTTGTCAGTACATTTTATCCACATGTCAAACAATTTCTGAACGGGGTCCGTGACAATCGCTATGAGAAGTAGTGGAACATGCTCCCTGCTGCTGAATCACTTACTACTATTAGTCTGTTACTACTAACTCCTCAAGCAACTATAGCTGATAGTTAATGTTGAGATATATAAAACCATTAATGTAGCCTCACCCAACAGCTTAAGTTTTTGGATTGAATTGGTTCTTTACATGGTATCAGAGCCAGGTTGTACCGGGTTCGATCCTCATCGTCTCCCACTTTCTTTCTAGTGGAATTTCTCTCTTCGGCCATGTAGGTGGGCCTGTGTATTGTCCACCCTTCTAGCCCAGTGGACTCTCGTGTAAGGGGGCGTGTTGAGATATATAAAACCATTAATGTAGCCTCACCCAACAGCTTAAGCTTTTGGGTTGAATTGGTTCTTTACAGTTAATATCATGAATAAGCTTATACCTGCGACAATCAACTATAAGAACATTGTCATCAAATGGCAAAGGTTCTGACCACATTATATAGAGATTGCAGTACGTTGACACGGGAAGATTCCAAGCCATGTGCTGGTGTGAAACAGGTATTGTTTTGTTGCTTTGATGCAATGGCTATGCAATTGGGTAAAAAACTTGTAAAAGATCTGATATCTAAGAGTTTATATTGTTGGTTGACCGTGTATGAGCATGTAGTTATGCGCAGACAAGGTATGATTGCATCATTTTAGTTCTTTTGCTTGGCAATGTAATTGTATTTTTTCATACAGCACATTTGCTAGGTGTGATTATACTCTACTCTTGTTGGGGAAAGGGTATGAAAAGAATAAGAGAAGCCATCAGGTTAGCAAGATAGGAAGCCAATTAGTCAGTTTGGATGGCAGTTAGTGGGACAAATAGCAGAAATTGTATAGCTGGGGCATCTATTGGAACAATTTTTAACTGAGCACATTGTTCAGTTAGAAAAAGGCATTGTAGAAGATCATTTTCCTTGACTCGAGATACAGCAATAATAGAGAATTCCTTTCTCTTTCACTCTGTCCTCTCTTCTCTGCAATCTTCAGACACTCACTCTCCCTGAGTGCCTATCAGCTCTGAATTATCTTTACCAGAAATATCACAAAACAGGAGTATGTTCACTGTCAATAATTGATGTATTAAAATTATATTTCACTTATCTTCATTTTTTTATTTATTTCAAATATGCATATTTTTATGAAACACGTGACATTTAGACAATTCTACTTTATGAATTTTGAACTTTGATCAATCTCATGTCCATAAGTCCATTCATATAAATATGGGAACAAGTAGCAAGAATATGGAGCGAATAACATCCTCCAGGTCATTTATTTATATAAACAAGTAGCAAGCATAAAGAATAAGAAAGTCAAGATAGGTAGCAGCATGTACTCCGCAGACTAAGCACTTACTTTGCAATCAACATTCATTCACCAATTACGCACAATTGTTATATAGGGGGGAAATGACATTTAACTAAACCACATAAGATGGAACTGGCCATCCCACAACATAATCGCAGGAAAAAATAAGACAGGCAGAACAACGACCATAGAAAAGAAGCATATAAATTATGAACTTGATGGGATATAATCACATACCTCCTTTAGTGCGTCCAGAAGTGTAGTTTGTGAAGAGTAAAGAGGAACAGGGTCCAGAGGAAGACAACAAACCCAGAGAAAAAGGGGGAAATGGAGATTGTCAAAGAGGCAAAAGAATCTCACTGCACAGGGAAGGGCTGAATCAGAGTGGGGTTGAAATTGAAACTGTAGAGAACAGCATTAAAGCAAAGAGGGGGTTGGTGGTACTGTGTGTGTGTGTGTGTGCTGTAATTGGCCACCAAATCCAATTCTTGATGGACCTGAATAGATAAAAGGGCTGGGTCAATAACCAGCCCAATACACATGACCTTAACCAACACAATCTATAGGTATAAGGAGGACTTCTGTCATGCAATATAGGTATAGGAATGAAGACTTAAACTCCAAAATATGTACATTGCATTTATCAAGAATATAGAATTCAACCAACAATCATCGCTTTAAGTGATAAAGAATTTGTTTTCTTTAATTAGAGGTCTCGAATTTAAGTCTTAAGAATGAAAAAAAATTATTTTGAGAGAGTCATCTCATATAAAAAATCCAACTGTGCATGAACTGAATTAATCGGCTAATCGATGAATCGATAGATATATATTTATAATAATTAACCAATGAATTTTGCGTTTTATAATTATGGTGGAATGTTACGTGATTTTTTTTCTTACGCTTAACCTTCAATAGTATATAAATTTAAAAAAGTACAAAGAAAAATCTACATAGATAATTAAAATATAATAACAAATATTTTTGCTCTTCATTTCTCATTAAAACATTCATGATTCAAAAAATAAAATAAAAAAACGTTTATTCAAATATAACTTGATTACTAAAAATTAGCTTTCCAATAATTTTTTGTTGAGTTTTTAACCCCATAAAATGACCAAATAAGAGCTGTTTTAAAAATTATTATTGTATACTATATTATCTTCTGAATGACCTTTATGAGTCATTTGAAAGTTGAAACCACTTAATGACATTCTTCTAACTAAAAATGAATTCACTTATAGGGTACAACATACCATAAACAATACGAGATAATAACGTAAATGAAAATTTTAATTAGTATATAATCTCGTTGAACAAATTATCAAAATGTAATTAGATGGAGTTAGAAAACTATTTTGTAAATAATAAAAAACATATAAAAATCATTTTGATCACTCTTTTTATTTAAATTATTATATGAATATTATCAACAACAAATAAAATAAAATCTAACCACATAAGGTGATTAAGAACCTATTTGGATCCTTTTATTTTTAAGCTAGAAGCTACTTATAAGCTAAAGCTAAAAAAAGAGCTTAAACAAAGAAAATAAAAGCTGTTTGAAAATTACATAAAAAAATTAATTTAAAAATACTTATTTCAAGAAAATTATCTCTTTTTATTTTTATAACTCTTCATTTTTTTTAAAAACACATAATTCAAGAAAAACATATAAGAGCTTAGAAAAAAGCTCCTCCTAGTAGCTTTTAGAGCCTGTTTGGATTCTCTTATTTTTAAGCTAGAAGCTACTTATAAGCTAAAGCTAAAAAAAATAGCTTAAAAAAATAAGCTAAAAGCTGTTTAGAAATTACATAAAAGTTTTAACTTAAAAATTATTTAAAAGCACATATTTCAAGAAAATTATCTTTCTCTCTATCTTTATAACTCTTCATTTTAAAAAAAAATAGTTTTTCGTTATAAGAGCTTTTCCCAAAATCTGTTTGGCCTAGCTTATGCTTATAAGTAGCTTCTAGCTTAAAAATAAGAGGATCCAAACAGGCACTTAGTTTTTAGCTTTTTTCTTTATTATAAAAAAAATGTTTTTCATTATAAGAGCTTTTCTCAAAATCTGTTTGATCTAGCTTATACTTGTAAGTAGTTTCTCACTTAAAAAATATAGGATTCAAATAATCACTAAATTTTTGTAAATAAGTTTATCATTGAGATTTTGTCTCTGTGATTTAGGGCATGCTTGGTGCATAGTATAGGATAAGGCTTGATAGTATAAGACCTGATTAAATTTTAATACTATCCAGCGTTTGGTGTGATATTGTATAAGATAATATCCTACAATATTTTAAAAATTAATTTATTAAAAAAATTTATTTTAATATATAAATATTGAAATGATATATTAGTTCTTGGGAATTGTACAAGCAATATTAATACATCAACTCCTTATCAGGCCTAATTCATCACTCCTAGGCCGGATTAAGTTATACATCATTTTGATGTATAAAGGGGTCCTGCTGTATAAGTTTATACTATACAATGATTGCATCAAACAACTGAAAATGTCATAACATATATATAAACTTATACTATCATACTTTATACATCACACCAAATAGGCCTTTAAATAGAAAATCCAAAATAAAGGGAGGAGGATTGGAGGAATAGAAAAAGCATTTATCCTTCCTCGCGTTGCCAAACAAGTAAGTGAGGATGCTGGCAGAACATTCCAGAACCTCACGACCCTAGAACTCTCTAGTTTCTTTCTTGGCTCTACCGCTCCCTCTTCTTCAGTCTTCACTCGATCAAATAAAACCCATTTCTTCGCGTAAACCAAAACCACCCTAAAATCTGAACTCCGATCCATGGCCGACGAAGCCAAAGCCAAAGGCAACGCTGCTTTCTCTTCCGGCGACTATGCCGCCGCCATCCGTCACTTCTCCGACGCCATCGCTCTATCCCCTGAAAATCACGTCCTCTATTCAAATCGATCTGCGGCTTACGCCTCTCTCCAAAAATACACGGAGGCTTTAGCCGACGCCAAGAAGACCGTCGACCTAAAATCCGACTGGTCCAAGGGTTACAGTCGTCTCGGCGCCGCTCATCTTGGTCTTAACCAATACGACGACGCCGTTTCAGCTTACAAAAAGGGCCTCGAAATCGACCCAAACAATGGGCCCCTCAAGTCCGGTTTATCTGATGCCCAGGCTGCGGCGGCGGCGGCAGCTTCCAGGTCCCGCTCGGTTCCGCCATCAACTAACCCCTTCGGCGACGCTTTTTCTGGCCCCGAGATGTGGGCCAGGCTCACTGCTGACCCTACCACTAGGGCTTACCTTCAACAACCTGATTTCGTGAAGATGATGCAGGATATTCAGAGAGATCCCAACAATCTGAACCTGCACTTGAAGGACCAAAGAGTCATGCAAGCCATTGGGGTTTTGCTCAACGTGAAGATTCGAACACCGACGGATGACACTGATATGCCGGAGTCTTCTTCACCTTCGCCGTCCGAGAGGAAGAGAGCTGCCGAAGCCGAACCTGCGAAGCAACCGGAGCCCGAGTCTGAACCTGAGCCCATGGAAGTGACAAGTGAGGAGAGGAGCGCAAAGGAGAGGAAGGCTCAGGCTCAGAAGGAAAAGGAAGCGGGCAATGCAGCGTACAAAAAGAAGGATTTTGATACCGCAATTGAACATTACTCGAAGGCTATGGAGTTGGATGATGAGGATATATCGTATCTCACAAACCGAGCTGCTGTTTACTTGGAAATGGGAAAGGTATGCTTTTTGGTTTAATAGATATATTGAATTTCTGTTCCTTTCTATTAAATGGTCATTGTGCATTGCTCTTTTTAATTGTAGAATGTAGACTAGACAAGTGGTTAGTACTTTATGCAAATATGAGGTATATGTCTATTTTTTTTAATGAGGCTGCTTAGTCATATTTGTGCATTTAATCAAATTTTAGGTTAAAATATAATTTTTCTCATCACATCACTCTCTTTTCTAATTTTATTGAGAAAAAAAGTTTCTAATGTAGTTTCTGTACTTGCAATTGTTTTTAAACACCTCATTGTTTTCAACATTTCGTGCTCGCCATTTGTTGCAGCTATAACCCTGTCAGAGTTGCATGGAGTTACTATGAAGTATAGAGATCAAATTGAAAAAGGGGACCAAAAATATATTTTGACACTCATTTTCAATTTGATTTCTATAAGTGTTATAACTTTAATACTTTGTTGTAATAACAGGCCGGTAAGAACTAAATTGAGAATGAAATCTAAATGATAACTATTGGTTTGTGGGAACTAAGAAGAATGTGTCAAGCGTGATTTAGAGTGGTTTTTGTCTCGGGTTTAACCCTCTCATCAAGCCATGCACGTTGTCTATATGTTCAAGATACTTTGGTGCATCCAGTAGCCAAACCCCTCCGAAGTGTTTGTGACTAATGATATTTAAGATCGATGTTAGGCTAATTTTTTGTACAATGGATATAGAGGAATTTGATCAAATATTATCATGATTGTCTTTAATGTGCCTGAGTGAGTGTTTAAATAGGTCTCTTTGATTTTCATAGAGTGTCTTTAGCATATAAGACTAGGCAGTCGTCTGAAAAAATCAAGGGAATATGTTTTGGTAAGGTAAGGACTCTTCTTACAACTATTCCTTGATGAATATTTTTTCAGTACGATGAATGCATAAAAGACTGTGAGAATGCTGTTGAAAGAGGAAGAGAACTAAGGTCAGACTTCAAGATGATAGCAAGAGCTTTGACAAGGAAAGGAACTGCCTTGGTCAAAATGGCAAAATGCTCGAAGGATTATGAACCTGCCATTGAGACTTTCCAAAAAGCACTTACAGAGCACCGCAACCCAGACACCTTGACCAAACTTAATGAAGCTGAGAAGGCCAAGAAAGAACTAGAACAACTAGAATACTTTGATCCAAAGTTGGCTGAAGAGGAGAGAGAAAAGGGTATGATCTCTTCTAGTCTACTCTCCTAGGTTCTTCATTTCCTGCTAGCTTTGTTTTTCTTTCTTTGGATTCCATCTTTTCCTAATAAATTTAACTTGTATTATAAAAAACGTTGACATGCAGGAAATGAATTCTTCAAGCAGCAGAAGTATCCTGAGGCTATAAGGCATTACACAGAGTCTATAAGAAGAAACCCAAAAGATCCTAAGGTAATAATACTCTTGGACAGAGGTGATAATCCTTGTGTTTAATGGCAAAATGCATGTACTAATCTGTTTGAATATCCCGTTTGTTACAGGCTTATAGTAACAGAGCTGCATGCTACACTAAACTGGGGGCAATGCCTGAAGGTTTGAAGGATGCAGAGAAGTGCATTGAGCTTGATCCAACCTTCTCAAAGGGTTATAATAGGAAAGGTGCGGTCCAGTTTTTCATGAAAGAATATGACAAGGCTTTGGAAACATATAAAGAGGGATTGAAACATGACCCTAACAACCAGGAGTTGCTTGACGGCATTGCAAGGTATGGTATTGTTCTACATTCATGCAATTTTAATTTAATATTTCAAGTTTACTTGTTGACTGTGATCTTGTGTGTCTAATCATCTAATATCCATTTTAGATGTGTACAACAAATTAATAAGGCCAGCCGTGGAGATTTGACTCCCGATGAATTGAAGGAGAGGCAGGTGTGGCATACTGTCATACTTTATAGTATTTACTGCCAAAAATATTTCAGTGGGAAATTTATAGTTTCATTTATTTATTCAATATATTTTAAAATTTTGTGTTCTTTTGCAGGCTAAAGGAATGCAGGATCCAGAGATACAGAACATCCTCCAAGACCCTGTTATGAGACAGGTTTGCTCACCTCTTGATCGAATGTTGGTGTGTATTGCGTTCGTGTGACGGGAATGAGATTTGCTTATGGAGTGTTGTGTGTGTATGCAGGTATTGATTGATTTCCAGGAAAATCCCAAGGCTGCACAGGAACATACTAAGAATCCAATGGTGATGAGCAAGATCCAAAAGCTGATCAGTGCCGGAATTGTTCAGATGAAGTAAATTTGATGGAAGGTGGCAGGGAGTTCATGCGAAGAAGCAATTGACAATTACATTTCGCAGTGTGACATTGATACTTTAATAGATTGGGTTGGAGAACAAACTGGGAGATTTTGAGTTGTTTTCTAATTTTGCTTTGTTTTAGTGAATTCATACAATTTATGAGAAACTCAATTGCAGTCCATTTTTCCATTTCGTTGGTTTCTTGTGCGTGCCATGCCTTTCTTTTAATTTAATCTAAATCGTTGGAGGGTGACTGTGATATCGCGGTTTGATAACTTGATCTCGGTTGTCTGAGGTTATAAATGTCTTGTTCGGGTGTCTTTTGTTGCAGAAGATCACCGTCTTTCCTCAGTTTCTACGAAAATGAATTTCGTGAATTGGGCTCCCCTGGGCTAGGGGAAACAATATTTGTAACCTAAAATGTTTTGCTAATTAGTTTGACTAATTAAAGCTGTGTATAGTAGCAGATTAGAGTATTTGCTACTGGTGTTTAAGATCTCTTTGGAAACTCTTTCTATGACGATTTATGGTGGCCATAAAGTCTCGGCTCTTTTTTTGTTTTGTTTTGTTTTACCGATAAAATAGACTGTAAATATTGTTTTAAAATTCCCAAAAAAAAAAAAAACATATGGTGAAATGTATTTCGTGGGCTGAAGATGATCATGCTTGTATTGTTGGTAATTCTGACGGCTGTTTTATTCTGGCCTTTTTGGGGGAGATCTATGTATTATGGGATTTTATTTTCTCATGTTGTTAGAGATAATTATCTTCTATTATAGACACATGATGTGGTGGAGTCCACTATCTATTAAAAAAAGAAAAAAAAGAAAAATGATGACACAATTTTTGATGTGAGAACATGAAATAATTATCTCATGTAAAATGAGATGATGATTTTTCTTATATTATTCATCAGTCAGTTATAAATGATGAGTATTGTTTGGCCGAAAATATAATACAGTGCAACTGTGCTATTATATGAGCTCACAGTTATCAATGTCGTACCATATGGTAAGTAGTTATACAAAAATTAATTCAAAATTTTTATTTTTTTTAATAAAATAAAAATTTGATTTATGAATTAAATCAAAAAAAATTTAAAAAATTATTATTAATAAGAAAAATGAAATAGAGATTTTATTTGTCATTTAAACTCAAAAATCAATTTGAAAAATATATATTAATAAAAAAATAATTAAATAATTATTTCAATAAGTATTTTTTTATTTTTTTATTATATTTTTATATTTTACGATTCGATACTATATATATTATAAAAAACCAGTCAAACAATAGTATTTCGATTCTAACAATAAGTAGTTATCTTGGGTGTTCATCTTGTTTGACCCACCTTAGTTATAGTTAAACGTCATAGAATCTAGTGTCCCAAAGGCCCAAACACAAACATTTAAAAAAAAAATATTATAGAATCACAATGGCCAAAGCCCAGGTTGAAGAAATGGATATATTTTTTTTAAAGTGACAATATATATTTTTATTATTTATGTTAAAGATAAATTAAACATATGTTCTACATAAAAAACACCTTCATTAAAAAAAATCAAAAAATTAAAATAACGTTGATTACATAGGGTTGATAAAGCCAAGTCAGTTTGTTAGTATATGCGGTGTAACTTGATACAATGTCAAAAACAAAGTGAACCATATAAAAAAAGGGTTCCCTTACTGCAGATAATTATCTGCAATAAACCCAATACGACATTGTTTTGAGACGAAAATCATGGTGTTTTTGTAATTTTAATTTATTTTAAGGTAATAATAGTCTTTATATTTATAATTCTTTAAGATTTCAATACCAAAATGATGTCGTTTTGGTAATAAATGCAGATAACTTATCTGCATTAACTGCAAAAATATTTTTTCATAAAAAGAAATATGTGATTGTAAACAAAATAAGTGTTTTAAGGGGATTTTGGGCGAAGCTATGGAATTTAGTTAAAGCCTTAAAGGACTTGAATTAAAATTATTAAGTTATAAAATACTTTCAACAGTTGCGAGGTTATTAAATTGTAATTCAAATTGTGAATTTTCATAATTAATTTTCAAGAAAAATATTATATTTATAAATTTTTTGTTTACAAATTCAACTATGTATTCCCAGGAATAGACACAGCTAAAAATATATTTCCGAAAATATATAATGTAGTTGGTAAAAGTTTGTAAACAAAAATTTGTAAATATAATCTATTACAATTTTTAAATCACATCAAATAGAACATATAAATAACGTATTTTATTTAATATAATAATTTTAAACTAAGAATTGATAAAATTAAAATCATAAATCATAAGTAATATGTATCAAATTTATGTTTCATAAGAAAAAAAAAGCATTTATATAATCAAATAAGATGTATACAAAAGTGTAATCAAATTCATTTATATGATCAATGCTTGGAAAGGGATAAGCGTCCTTGGGACATACTTTGTTTAAGTCGGTATAATCGACGCACATCCTCCACACCTCACTAGGCTTTTTAACCAACATAGGATTAGAGAGCCAGGTTGTATATTTGACTTTTTTTATGAAGCCAGCTTCGTGGAGCCTTTTCACTTCCTCATCGATTATCTTCTGGCGATCAGGGCCAAACTTCCTCTTCTTTTGCGCGACGGGCTTCGCTTTGGGGTCTATTGACAATCGGTGGCAGCACACTTCTGGGTCTATACCTGTGTCGGATGGTTTCCAGGCGAAGAGATCTCTGTTACTACGTAGCAGCTTGATCAGCCTACTCTTAATTTCGGGATCAATGGTCGCTCCGATTGTAGTTGACTGGTGGTCCGCGTCGCCCAAAACTACATGCTCTAATACTCCATCTGGCGTGGTCCTGGAATGTTTCGCTCGAGGGTCGTCTCTAGCGTCGAATTCTACAAGAAAACATTGATCAAGTTCTTTGTCATTTCTACTAGCATTTTCTTCTATTACCTGTGACGTTCTCACTTGAGGCGTTGGTTGGTCTTTGAAGGTGACCTTAGGTGCTGGTTTCAAAGATACATTGTAGCAACTCCTGGCTACTGTTTGGTCGCCTTTTACCGTCGCCACCTTATTGTCCCTCGCCACGAACTTTATTGCCAAGTGCGGGTACGATATTCTTGCTTCAAACGCGGTGAACATTCTTCTGCCGAGAATTACATTATAAGCTGGCTGGGTGTCGAGCACCAGGAACTGGATGTCAGCTGATCTTGATGTGGGTGGCGTCCCCAAAGACAAACACAGGCTTATCATTCCAAGCGGCTTGGTGGTTGTTGCGTCGAAACCTGAAAGTTCACCTGCAACGGTCATTCATTGTAAATCCTAACGCCCTGAAACATGGCAAAAATAAGATATCAGCAAAGCTGCCGTGGTCAACAAATACACGATTGACGCCGAAATTGGCGATTATTGATTGAATGACCAAAGGGTCATCATGTCCAGGAAGGACGTCGCCCAAATCGTTGTAATCCCACACGATTTTAGGCTTGGCGGGACCTGAATCCACTTTTACTTTGCTGATGACTTTACCAGCAACCGCCAAACACTGTTTCAAATATCTCTTCCTAGTGTTGACTGTTTCCCTGCCTCCGCTCAGGCCTCCTGAAATCATGTTTATCACCCCATGCTTGATGACTGCTGAATCTTCTTCATATCCTTCTCGTCTTCCTCTATTGCTTTGGTTAACCGGCACTTTGCGGTCTCGTGGGGAGTCTTCTCCGCGATCTCGTTCATGGCAAGGTTGATAACCAAGCTGGTTGTTTCTCCTTTGTTCTGGTGACCTGCTACGCTCACGTTGTCGCCTTCCAGTTCTGGCCGGGCGCGCACCTTCTCCTCCCCGCCTTTGAGCACCGCCCTTGATGAGCTCGTCAATCTCGTCTTTAAGGTGTCTGCATTCCTCAGTACTATGGTCGTTGCTGCGGTGGAACTTGCAGTACGCGGCAGCTTCTCCGGTCGGCTGCTGGGGCCGTTGGTTGTTCTTGGGCTCCTCTTTGTACTCAGTTTGCAGGACGCTATGTGATGGGCGTCCTGATGTGTCACGCCCTGAAGGGCGACTGGCATACTTAGACGATTTATGACTCCGCCTGTTCTCTTCAGCTTGGTTCTTACTCTTATCGATCGTCATCTCTTGGTTATGGGCGTCATCAACTCGACTCCCTTTGTACTCTTTAATTCTCATGAACTCCTGGGCTTTTTTCCTGACTTCTTCTAAGTCAGTGATTTCATGGCGAGCGAGTTCGTAAGCGAACGCTCCCTGTCGCAAGCCTGACAGAAGTATGTGCACTTGCACCTTGGGGTCTAAGCCTTGAAATTGCAGAGCCTCTTTATCAAAGCGGTCCAAAAAGGATCTAAGGGACTCTCCAGATTGTTGGCGAATCTTTTCAAGGGAGTGAACGGACTTAGGCACCGGGCGATTGGTTGCGAAGTGGGACTGAAACTTGCTCGCCAAATCGTCCCACGATGCAATACTACCGGTTGGTAGAGTGGTGTACCATGTCAGCGCTCTCTCTCCCAGAAGTGTGGGGAAAGTCCTGCACATGAGGAGATCCGTCTCGCCGTGAAGGGTCATTGCCGCTTCAAACTTTTGGATCCACTCAAAAGGATCAGTCTCACCAATATACATGGTGATGTTAGAGGGGCCTTTGAAACCGAGGGGTATGGGGGTTAACCGCAAGCTATCAGTCAAGGGTTTGTTGCGTCCTGACGTATGAGCAGCGTTATCCTTACATTGGGGTTACGTGCATGCTGGTCGGGTTGTGGGTGAGGTATGTGTGGGGCTTCAACAGAGTAAGAGAGGGCTGAGGCCTGGTGTAAAGCTTGGTGGGCGCCATATGGTGGATGACCAGGGTTTAGATAAGACCCCTGGGGTTGTGGGATGGCCATGTTATGTGGTTGCATAGCGTAACCGTGGAATGGGAAACCAGCAGGGTAAGGTTGAAGGAAAGGAGCAACAACGTTGGCAACATTATGAGTGTAAGGTCCAGGGGGCACGGGGCTATCATGGCAAATGATGATCATTGTACATCGCCACTGGCTGACTTCGGGCCGGTTGTGGACGATGGGCGAGTGTGTCGAAGGCTTGTGGTGCAGCAGTGGGGAATGACATTCCGAAGTGAACTCCCAGCGGTGGGGGTTGGTTTGGGACTAAATTTTTTCCTTGCATTTCACGCATAGCTACGCGGTGATTCAACTGTGCTATTCTAGCGCCAGCTGTTGGAAACTGTGAGCCAACAGATTGCAGCACCGGAGGGAGAGCTTCGCCAACCGCTCGCTCAGCTGGAGCTGAATGCATGGATAGCGGGGAGTTAGGATGAACTGTTTGTACGTGACCCTCTGGGGTTGTGGCCCTAGCTTGTTCTTCTCTTCTGGTCGTGACAACCATGTTTAGTTATCAGAGTGTGAAATGCGTCTTGAGGATATTTGGTAGGAGAATGGGAATAGAAGTTTATAGCTTCCCACAGACGGCGCCAATGTACCGTTTAAATCTATAAGCCCATTATGTTCCCTTTTGAGATAATGTCACTGTATGGATGATACCCCTAGCTGAAGTAAAGACCAGGTTAGGAGGTATTGTTCAAAGGATGAAGCAAGTTAATAACAAGGGTGTTGGGTGTGTGAGTCTGTGACTAAATTCAAATGGGCATAATAACGATACATAAGATACCTTCATAGTGTGCCCAAGGGGGCTATTTATAGAGAAAGTGGTGTGCACCTAGTTGGTGAGGAGGGGGTCAACCCTCCTTGAGATTCACTCCCATGATGGCAGAGTTGGGCGTGGCAGGCGCTGCTGTTGTAGCAGCGCTGCGCCTTCTGCTGCCTAGAGGTGTCAGCGTAGGGCAAAGGAGCAGTTTCCTTTTACGAAGCCCGTGACAGTCGTCTTTGGGGGTTGAGGTCCCAAGATGGGACGTTTTGGTGCTTCCTTTTGGGAGTGTCGCAACATTGGGGGATGGGAGGATCCATGTCAGCCTTTAGGGCTAACGTGGGTTGGAGCCTGGGGTTGGACTTGGGACCTTGGGCCGGCAGTTATTGAGCCATCCGGAACACTACCCATAATATATAGTGTAATATGTAAAAATTTGTATGTAAATATAACTTATCCAAAATATAATTCTCTAAATATAAAACTTATTTAGTAGCATTTCTTTAAAAAAAAAATTTGGTAGAATTTTTTAAAATTTTTTAACAATTTAAATTTTGGTGAGAATTATTAAAAGAAAAGTTTTAAAAATAAAACTTAACAAATTGTTGAAGTGTGTGATTCTGATACGAATTATACTGTTCATATGTTTTTAATTGGGATTAATGAAATGAAAATAACTTTATTTCATATACTCAGGTGGACAATATTTTATAAATCAAAATCATACAATACATAAAAGGAATTGCTGACAAATGATTTCGCGAATCGTGCAATGTTATGTGAATTCCCAATCGTATTATTCTAATAATAATACCTTGTATCAGACTACGATAGTCGATAACTATGCTTTTCGATGACCAGTTTCCCGACACCTATTTGCAGCGAAGGACTTTCGTCTCGATGGGCTTATCACAATTAAACACAGTTTTTTTTTTACAAATCATATATATCTTTTATGGGGAGTAATCTTATTCCGAATGGATATAAGATCAATGCTTTAAACCTCTTTTAAAGACAATACTAAAGAGTATCAAATACATATTTTTTATCTCCATCTGCTCAGTTTCTATATACTAGCTAATTGAGCTACCATTATTTAATTAATTAAATATAATTTAGTAGAATCCCAGGGTAGCCGTAGATCAGTTGACAACTGAGCGCTTGAGGCAGGGTTTGAAAAATCTCATACATCCGTTGTTCCAATGAAGTTTTTAAGTTTTGACTTAAAACACCTGTTGTCTGTTTCAATAGGCCTTTTGTCCTTCGCACTGTAATTTTTAACATGTATGACCGGAATAATCTCTAGATCATATGTTTTGTCTAAAGGGAGGTTTTAAGACATGACACTCTACATACCGCGTCCGGTACAAATTCTGACATGCCATGAGACGTGATACCATAAAAGCCGCGTCCCTTACAAAATGATATGCACAGGACGCGGTTGTCCATCAATCACGTGTCAGAAAGTCATCACACTTTTAATTGCTAAGCGTTTAATTTTGGGGTCTTGGTGATAATACTTCAGATAAATCATCTTTTTTATGTCAGTCTTAAAGTTCCATTGCTTTCCAGATATGAATTAGATGAATTTGTCACTGACTGAATGAACTACTAAGGAGTAAAGCTCAATTTGAATGTGCTAAGCGCATTTGTCCAGTCCCAATTAAAATTCACCAAAGTTGTCTGAAATAGTTTATGAGGAAAACAAAATTTATCTATCAATTTTCTTATGTTTTCAGCTAATCTGTTTAGTTTTAAATTTAAATTTAATATAATTTAATTCAAAGAAATTTGAAGTAAATCGATTATTGTTTTGTTTTTTATTTTTTCAAGGAGGCAATAAACTGATTATATATTTTCTTTTCTTTTGTATGTACAAAATCGTCTCTTTTGCAATGAAGATTTTGTTTTTTTAAAAGTAGAATAGTAATTAACATTTCAAGTGTATTCTTTCTAAATGCTCAATATTATAGTTTTTGTGTTTCTAAATGCTCAATATTTCAATCTCCATAATTGTATAAAAACGAAAGAATAACTACACTAAATTTTCATAACTTGTTACTCCAACACGTTTATTGTTTAGTAAATTATCCATATTTCTATTTTAAAAAAATCCATATTTCTTCCTTTTTCTACAAACTATAAAAAATGTAAGTATCCTTATAATTTTTATTTTTATTTTGGTACAAAGTATCCTTATAATTTAATTAAGTTGCGGCCAATCAATCGAAGTGAACTAAACTGTTAGCTCAAGCCAACCGTTAGAGTAAAAATATGGATAAATTTAATGGTAGTTCATATATATATGGGAAAAGTGTGTATCATTTTAAAGGACACAAAGTTGGGTCATTTTAAGTGAGAGAAAGAGATAAATCATAGGAGAGAGTGAGGGAAAAAAGTTTTAAAAATGTGGGTCCCACCCTTTGTGAGAGTGAAAGGATATAAGGTGTGTCATTTAAAATGACACACCTTTTTTATATATATATATATATATATATATATATATATATATATATATATATATATATATATATATATATATTGGAGAATGATCCGTTTACAAACTTTCTAAATGCTCAGATTTTTTTACAAATTACACTATGTTCTCCCGGGAGAACATAGTGTAACTACTTTTCTCCCGGGAGAACATAGTGTAGTTTGTAAACAAAAAAATTTGTAAATATAACTTGCCCCCATATATATATATATGAGGCAGGATCCTTTGACACCGATGGAAAATTTAAAATTTGACACCTCATCTGAGAGTCGTTAGATAAAAAAAGATCAATTACTCGGATTTGTAAGTATGTGATACCATTGATCTTTTTTGATCTAACGACTCTCAGATGAGGTGTCAAATTTGAAATTGATACTGGTGTTAAAGGATCCTACCTCTCTCTCTCTATATATATATATATATATAAGTTAAACGTGTTAAGTAACACAAAAATTATAATATTGAGCATTTAGAAACAATACACTTGAAATCTTAATTGCTATTGTACTTTTAAAAAAACAAAATCTTCATTGCAAAAGAGACGATTTTGTACATACAAAAGAAAAGAAAATATATAATCAAGTTTATTTATTGCCTCCTTGAAAAAATAAAAAATAAAAATAAAACAACAATCGATTTACTTCAAATTTCTTTGAATTAAATTATATTAAATTTAAATTTAAAACTAAACAGATTAGCTGAAAACATAAGAAAACTGATAGATAAATTTTGTTTTCTCAGAAACTATTTCAGACGACTTTGGTGAATTTTACTTGGGACTGAACAAATGCGCTTAGCACATTCAAATTGGGGCCTTTCTCCTTAGTAGTTCATTTAGTCAGTGACAAATTCATCTAATTCATATCTGAAAAGCAATGGAACTTTTTTTTTGGAAAACAAGCAATGAAACTTTAACAGTGACATAAAAAGGATAATTTATCTGAAGTATTATCACCAAGACCCCAGAATTAAACGCTTAGCAATCAAAAGTCTGATGACTTCCTGACATGTGATTGATGCACAACCGCGTCCTGTGCATATCATTTTGCAAGGGACGCGACTTTCATGGTATCACGTCACATGGCATGTCAGAATTTGTACTGGACGCGATATGTAGAGTGTCGTGTCTTAAAACGTCCCTTATTCAGTCGCGTCGTTATGCATTATTTAGGCAAAACATATAATCTAAAGATTATTTCGATCATACATATTAAAAATCACAATAAAAAAGTCAAAAGGACAATAGAGGGCAGTAAAAAAGTCAAAAGGCCAATAGAGGGCTAGCCTACAGCCGATAGAAATTATATGTTGACATAAAAAATAAAAAAATAATTTTAATATTATAATTATATATTATTTATAATACATAATTATCATAACTATTAAAAAATAGAATCCTTGTTATTTAGGGTTGGGTAACTCAAAAAAAAAAATCTTGTGTTATTTAAAAACACACATACTAAACACATAATATATATTCATTAAA